AGAGATCCTTGATGCCATCCAGCTTTTGTCCACAAACCATGCGCCTGACGTTCTTCCAGCCGAGCGAATTCCCGTCGTTCGTGATCCCGAAGATGCTATGGGGCGTGGAGGAATTCCCCGACAAAGGCGTCAAGACTATGTTGAGGATACGGAAGACGAAGACGATGATTTCCAGGAGATGCAGATTCGTGGTGGTCGCCGATACAGGGGATTCCAGGAGGAGCATGTTCGTGGGAATCGACGTCAGGGAGGATATCGACGAGATCCTGAGCAGTATCAACTAAAGGTAGATCTCCCTACTTTCAATGGGAATTTGGATATTGAAGATTTCCTTGATTGGCTTTGGGAGGTCGAAAAATTCTTCGACGCTATGGATATTGACGAGGATCGCCAAGTGAAACTTGTGGCGTACAAGTTGAAGGGTGGCGCTTCAGCTTGGTGGGAACAGACTCAATTGACGCGATGTCGACAAAGCAAGGCTCCCATTCGATCATGGGGTCAGATGAAACAAAAGTTGAAGAGGAGGTTCCTCCCAACGGACTATGAGCAACTGTTGTTTCAGCAATTCCAGAACTGCCGACAATTGAATAGATCGGTCCAAGCTTATACGGAAGAGTTCCTTCGACTCTCTGCTCGCAATAACTTGGATGAGTCCGAGGCACAACAAACTGCTAGGTACATTAATGGTTTGCGACTTAATATCTAGGATCGGGTTTCTTTGCATCGACTATTCTCTGTCGAAGACGCCCAGGATATGGCGCGAAAAATTGAGGTGCAATTGGAGAGGACTAGCCCTAGTACTCGTGGTAGCAATTATTCGGGTCGTGGGTCATTCGGGAAAGGAAGACAGCCTGATGTTGCAAGTTCTTCTAGTCAACAAACACCTGATTCGAGCCGAGTTCCAGGGGGTACTACTGGGACGCCTAAGGAAGCAGTCGCAACAAATAATCGCACTCCCAATCAGAATACCCAGAATCCATATGCCAAGCCCCAACCGATCAGGTGCTACAAGTGTAACGAGTTGGGCCATCGTTCCAGCGATTGTCCTCGTCGTAGAATGGCCAATATCGTTGAACATGACGAAGATGTGTATGAGGAAGACTGGGAAAATGAAGAAGAAGTGGGAGTGGAAGATGAAGTGGGCGAGCAAGTTAATTGTGTTGTGCGTCGTCTATTGCTTGATCCGCGAACAGAAGATACCCAGAGGAATCAGCTTTTCCGCGCTCGCTGTACTGTCAACGGCAAAGTATGCGATATCATTATTGACAGCGGAAGTTGCGAGAACATAGTGTCAAAGGCCTTGGTGGATCACTTTCAACTAAAGACGGAGCCGCATCCCGCACCCTACACAATCGGGTGGATACGCAAAGGAGCAGAACTTAAGGTAAACCAATTATGCCGTTTACCTATTTCGATCGGGAAATCATATCAAGATACTATTGTCCGTGATGTTGTGGAGATGGATGCGTGTCATGTTTTACTGGATCAGCCATGGCAATATGATGTTGATGCTACACACCGAGCTAGAGAGAATACGTATTCTTTTGTGTGGAAAAGGACTAAAATTACTTAGAGACCAAAGAGTAATTCCCCTCAGATTGTGAAGAAGTAGAATGCAGGGGTTATGATGAATATCCGAAAGGGTGAAGGGATGTATATGATTGTGGACAAGAGCGACCAGCAAGTTGTGGTTTGTGTTCCCGACATTCTTAAGCCCTTATTAAAGGTATTCAGTGATGTTATGCCTGAGGATTTACCTGACGGATTACCTCCTTTGAGGAATAACCAGCATGAGATTGATTTTCTTCCAGGTGCTAGTCTTCCTAATTTGCCGCATTATCGGATGAATCCGAAGGAGAATCAGATTTTACAGGAGCAGGTGGGAGAGCTCCTTCGAAAGGGCTTATTGCGTGAAAGCAAAAGTCCATGTGCAGTTCCTGCGCTTCTCACGCCAAAGAAAGACGGCACCATGCGTATGTGTGTAGACAGTCGTGCCATTAACCGGATTACTGTCAAGTATAGGTTTCCGATTCCACGACTTGATGATATGCTAGACAGACTTGCTGGATCACGGATTTTTACGAAGATCGACCTTCGAAGTGGATACCACCAAGTTCGCATCCGCCCCGGCGACGAATGGAAAACGGCCTTCAAGACAAGTGCGGGATTGTACGAATGGCTTGTCATGCCGTTTGGACTCACATGCAGTGATATGCCTAAGCAGTGGGACCGGTATCTTGATCCTGCTGAGTTCACCTTCAACAACTCGGTTAACCGCTCTACCAGTACATCTCCCTTTCAGGTCGTATATGGGCGTACACCACAGCATACTCTGGATTTGATTCCCTTGCCCAAGATTCCAGGCTATAGTGTCGCGGCAGAGAATTTGGCGACCAGAATTAATGAAGTCCAAGCTACTGTGGCTAGTCAATTGACTGCTTCTAATTCAAAGTATAAGGAGGATACTGACAAACGGCGACATTCGAAAATTTTTGAGGTAGGCGATGAGGTAATGTTTTCCTGCGAAAGGAGCGTTTTCCTGTAGGTACCTATAATAAACTAAAGCACAAGAATATTGGTCCTTGCCGCATCCTGAAGAAGATCAACGACAATGCCTATGTAGTTGACCTTCCTGGTGATCTCAACATTTCCCCTACATTTAATGTGGCAGACTTATTTGAGTATCATGCTTCTGATACACCCCTCTATCCTGATCATAACTCGAGGGCGAGTTTTTCCGAAGAGGGAGGGAATGATGTAGAACAGTTAGCTTGTGATTATTTTGAACAATGTGATCGCCGTAATCACCGGAAATCTCATTTTTCTGATTTTGGGGAAAACAACCATTCAAGCAGCTTCCTATATTATCATTTAGGCGCTTCCTATATTACCAATAAGGCGCTTTCCTATATTATCATTTAGGCGCTTTCCTATATTACCAGAAGGCGCTTTCCTATATTACCATTCAGGCAGTTTCTTTAATTATTCGGTTTCCATTAGTATTAAGAGTCCTATCTCTATATATAAGATGTCCGTCTTGTAATCAAAATCACAGTATTATTGAATAAAAGTTTCGAGTTCTTTGGAGTCGTTCCAAATTTACGCTTTCTCTCTGCGTCAATTTGTAAGATTAAGATCGACTATGTTGTCCCGGGTGAGATAGAGCAGAACCTCGGGTTGCCACTGTAATGTGGCTACATGTAGAGGAGTGTTTCCTGCCTCGTCTTTCGCATTTATAAGCTTCTCAAGCTTGGGATCGCCAAGTATGTACTTCACTACCGAGGCCCTTCCATACTTTGCCGCAATATGAAGTATATTTTGCCGTTCCTTTAAAGTAAGCAACTCTTCTGGATCTGGCCAATGTCGAAGCAGCTCATTCATTGTTTCAAGATGACCCGTCTTACATGCGACGTGGATCGGAAGATAGCCCTGTCTGTCACCCTTGAGGCGCTCGAAGCGAACTTGTTGACCAAGAATTCGACTCCATTGATGTAATTCTCATATGCTGCTAGATGGAGGGGAGTTCCCCATCCAGCATCTCTCAAATCAAATAGTTCCTTCTTTTGATCTGACATCATTATCAGCATATCTACATCATTAGAGAGTAGGAAATGAATGACTTTGTGTCATGCTCATGATCAACGGTTTGGTAACTTTACCCTCTAACTATTATATTTTTCTTAAGATGAAACAAACATGCGATATTACATGGAATACATAATTGAAACCTAAACTTTTGGGGAATAATTTCAGTATAGACATTGGAGAATGCTTCAAAGCATAGAGACATTCATCTCCAAGTAGTAATTTTCCACATGGGAGTAACAAAGGGCAGCCATGACACGAGTCTCTTCCTCTTTCAAAAAAGGTTCTTGGACCATAACATAAGTGTAGTATCTATAGTGGCTTATACTATGAGTATCGACTACTGAAATTTTAGCGTAATGACATTTTTCAAGGGGTAATTCTTGCCAGGTCTCAAGTCCAAACAGATCGTTTTGCCTTCTTCTGGTTCAAAGTTTATGGGAAATCTTCAATAATTGATTCTGACTTTAGAAAAAGGTTAAACCATTCTAGTAGAAGAACAAAATATGCGAGGTCAGCTGCTTTATGAACGTGACTTGCAGGTTCAACAGCTCGTATAGACACACATATAAATGGTCCGGCTAATTAATTTACCCAAGCAAGAGCCATAAGTACAATAACTGACCTAACTTTTGGTGCATCACGGCTCCGTGAACCGGCGACATTCCTTGCATGATTTGCATCCAGTGCGGAAGGACTTCATTCCCATCCACCGCTTGCAGCAAACGCGAGAGAATGTTCGAGTCCCCCATCTCGACTGCCAAGTACAGTGGGCACTTGTTCTCCTTGTTCTTCTTATTCACCGATTTTGAGCCTCGACGCAGGAGAAGATCTGTCAACTCGTAGTCACCGTTCTTCACAGCCTCATGCAACGCTGTGTTCCCCGCCTCGTTCGCTTCGTCCACAATACTGCTGCAGTCAAGGAGGAGCTCGGCCATGCAGTTCCGGTGGATCCGGCGGATCCGGCCTGATCTTGCTGCAACGTGGAGTGGGGTGTCCCCTCTGTCGTTTGCCTGGGCGGCAAGCTGCTTGTCATGGATGACCTCCAGGAGGGCTCGGAGGATGTTGGAGTTCTCGATACCTGCTGCGACATGGAGCAACGAGTTCCCAGAAGGGCCCTGTACGTGGATAATGTCGGACAAAGAGACCCTCTCTTCGGCAGAATACTTTTCAAGGGCTTCGATGAACTTGTCGATGTCGCCATCTTTTGTGACGGCCTGTAGCAGTGGATACGCACGACAATTGAATTCTACTTGGGTGTGTGGTTCGTTTACCGACTCTAGTGCTCTCAATCTGGCCCTTCTCTGCTCCCAGAGATTATCATCCTCGATAGGTATGCTCGTGCGATCGCGATCCATCTTTTGACTCTGAAATTTGAATATCTTCTCCTCCAAAGTTAAAACTTGTTTGGACTCTTTTCCGGCAACTCTTCTCCAAGATTAATTACACAGCCACAACTTGGAGATGTTTTCTTCACTAGCTGTCAGTAAACATTTTGTGGCCAAGAGCATTTCTTCGAAAAAAGATATCTTTGGTGCGCGAAAACATCCACTACGGAGTTCATTCCTGAACATTGTACAGCATTCATATCAAGAACATTGTCGGTATAGACTATTCTACGCAAGTAATCCCTGGAAAATCTGCTGGTGCTGCGAAATTACACAAGGCGTGAATCTAATATTCAGACGATTTGGAAAAACAAATCCAATTTTAATTCGAGCACAAAATGATCGAATTATCAAGTCCATCTTTCTCAAATGAAGATGGATTTGCGAAAGCCATGTCAACTCCTGAGAGGAGTGTTCTGCGATGATAATTAACAGCAAGGTAAGTACTGCCTGAAAATTCAGAGAAAACTAAACTACTTGGCTAGCGGTGGCAGAGCTAAGATTGTTTTTTAGTGAAGTCAATAAGAAAAATGCTAAATTGTTTTTGAACGGGAAAATTTATACACAATTCTGAAGTTTTGATCATCTATAAATTTGTAAACTTCGGCATTTAATTTTTAAACAAATATAAATTTGATCCACAATCTTCATTTTTGTTGAATATATTTCACGATTGAGCTATGTTACAACATGCTAATTACCTAACCGTACAAATTGTCTAAAACTAACTCAAGGACGTCCTTTAAACTTAGCACGCGCACAATGACAGCATATTACATGCACATAAGAGTCACTAAACAAAATTTTGCAAAACAAGTCAGGTCTTAACTCTTGCATGTGATTGAACTAGATCACATGACACAATTACATTATTGACATAAAGTTGCCCAAAGCTTGAGTCTTGTTATTTGTGAAGGGTTGACTATGGGACACTAGTTAAATATAATGATAATAAATGTTTCAATTTTCAATGCATTGATTATACATGATACGAAAGTAGTACATTGAAATCCGTAAATTTTTTGTATGTGTGGTTGCTTAATAAATGTTTCGAAGTACTCGTTAACAAGATGTGACTTAAAAATATCCTTCAAATGTAGCTCAATTGAATGTATTGTAACATAATTCGATGCTTATGGGAACCAAAATCACAATCATGCAAAAATTTAATTTTGACAACTCAATTTAAAGTTTTATTATATTTAATTTTGGGCAAAATGACACTATAAGTGCCATAACTTGTGTACGGCGCTCACTTTGGTGCCATAACTTTTTTTCGGATCACTTTGGTGCCAAGTCGGAGGAAAAACGATCACTTAAGTATCATAACTTTTTTTTTGGATCACTTCAGTGCTAAAATTTTTGAAAAACGATCACTTAAGTGCTAAAATTTTTGAAAAACGATCATTTGAGTGTTAAAAATTTTGAAAAACGATCACTTAAGTGCCAATCTCCGGCGAGTCACGTCAGCTTCAGAAATTAATAAAAAAAATGCCACGTCAGATTTCCGGCGAAAAATTGTGTACGGCACCGGAGTTGGCACTTAAGTGATCGTTTTTCAAAAATTTTAGCACTAAAGTGATCCAAAAAAAAGTTATGGCACTAAAGTGAGCGTCGTACACAAGTTATGGCACTTGTAGTGTTCTTTTGCCTTTAATTTTGTCGTAGTAACTTGAATTTATAGAGTTGGTTTTAGTTTCACCTTTTTCATTGTATTCTGGGTTTTTAAAGTTTTTGTGAGGCTTATTATGTTCTTAAAAATATAGTTTATTGGGGTCAAAGTAAAATTAACGGACGCTTAGAATATTTATGCTAATAATCAAAATATCTGCAATTTGACTAGGGGCAATTGCCCCCACTCCTTATAAATCGTCGACGCCACTGCCGACTGAAAATAAGGAAAGTTAAAGCGCAAAACCGAGGGTTAAACTGTTGCAATCGAAAATTAAATTGGAATTTAAATTAAAACTTGGAAATCACAGCCAACTAGAATCTAACGACCCTCATATTATGAAATTTAGGAAAACACGCATAGGAAGAGGAGAAGTGGAAAAATAATACCAAGAAAGGCATTTTTTTTTGTCTCTTAGTTATGAATTTATTTTGATGTCTTGTTCTTAGAAATGTTCTTTACATGGATTAGTTCCAGCTACCCAAGAGCTTTCGCCCTTGGCGGAACATAGAATCTGCGCTTGACATATTCATGCGAATTGGAGGAAGAATAAAGAAAACAAGTCTCGACAACATTACCACCATATCCATGCTTGAGGACATAAGAATCCAGAGGATGAGAAGAATTCAAGTGAAGATGTTAGTTTCTGCGAGATGGAGTGGAGAGTGTTGCCCCTGAGTTCTGTTGAAATTAGAGGAAAACAAGGCTGAAACCGAATGCACTTATTGCCGGAGAAGGGTATGAAGTGAAGCACAAACCAGACAAGTCTGTGGTTAACATGGAAAAGCAAACTTGCTTTTGTAGATCATGGGACATACCTTGTATACCATGTCCTCATGCAATTTGCACCATATATTACAAGCGAGACGAACCTGACAAGTATTTATCTAACTGCTACAAGAAGGAGAAGTAGATACAAACATATTTGTTCACCTTGGAGCCTATGAATGGTAAGGTTATTATATATATAAGTCTACACTATTTCCACCCCTCATAGGACTAAATCCACCCAATTTTCACCAAAAGACAAGATTGGCCTCAATCATTCACTTGCAATTTATAGTGGTGGTCCCATTTCTTTTTTATTTTATTTTATTTTCACTTCCATTTAGAATCTAGTTACCTTAATTAAGCATTTCACATATTTTGTTTTGGTCTATTGTGGGAATCCCATTTATGTTGAAGGCATTATGTTTTCTTTTTTCTTTTTAGATTTTAATTATGTAGAAATAAGTTTTGTCGAAAAGAAAATTTTCCAAGAAAATATATATCAAGTCTCTTTATTTACAACATCAAAGAATTTGTATTTTTTCTTTACTATGGGCAAGATACTTATGTACAAAGCATGTAAGACATCATAAGAGTATCTAGGAGTACAATAAAAATATCTACGTGAAAAGTTATGGATAATGAGGCATCTTTATATTTTTATCGTAAACACTCCATGTATGGTATTAATTTTTGTCAATCCAAAATGATGAGATTTCATTGGCATTTGAAAAAAAATTATTTTTTTGCAATGTTTGATATAATTAAATTTCATCTTTTAAAGTTTCACATTGGAAAATATAACTGTGATTTTACTTTGGAAAATCTTTAAAGAGGGATTTTTTTTTTGTTTCATCCTATCATCACGTTAGATTTATCTGTATATAAAAGACAACCGATAAGAGAGGATTTGATGGTGATATGTGCACCAAATTTAAAGTTTATAAACAAGTCATTGTGTTAAAAATTGCATATCTTAATTTTTTTTTTTAGATTTTATTTGATAATCGATCCATAAGTTTGCTCAACAACGTAAAAATGAATTAGGTTTCTTGAATATTTTCTTTTCAACAAAACTAATTTCTATGGAAGTAAAATCTAACAATAAAAAAGAAAACACGTGAAATTCTTAATTATGCAAAAACAAACATGTGAAATTCTTAATTATGGCAGTTAAATCTTAGATAGAAATAGAAAAACTAAGAAAAGAATGAAAGTAAATAAATTTTCCTCATCGATTTAAATTGCAATTAAATGATTTGGAGCAACTTTGTCTTTTTGTTGAAAATTGGGTGGATTTAGCTATATAAGGGATGGAAATAGCGCCGCCTATTAGATAACAGTTTAACTCGTATGGCTCATTAAAGAGAATTACCTGTCAAAAGTATAATGAATATTTCGATGGAGAAAACCATATTCAAGTTTTTGGCTTTATGTTAGTATAAACAGATAGGTTTTAGGACCCACCTGCGCATGGCCGAGTTGGTGGGTGCTTTCCTTCCCTCCTAGAGGTTCTGAGTTCGAATCCCCGCTCGGCTCCGTAATTTAAGTGGGGGGTCCTGGCGGTGGGTTGCTGGGCTAGTCTCCCCCGAGATATAGGCGTCTCGATTACCCGTGCGGGCTCGTCCCCGAGAAATGGTGGCGGATCCTCGGTTACCAAAAAAAAAAAACATATAGGTTTTAGGACTTCAATGGAACTTTTTTCAACCATATAAATTTAAGAATTCTAATCCCACAAAATTTGCAAAAACTATTTCCTTTCTATAAAGTGCCCAAAATCGCCTAATTAATCTTTTATATTACTATAATTCTAAAAAAGGTACTTTTATTCAGATATATGGAGTTTATGTTTTTTTTTAGATCAATAATTTTGAATTTGCTTTAATATAATATTATGAGATTTAGTCGGGCTTCCATAGGGCAGTCTCGTCTTTTCAACGAAAAGCTGTGCTTTGAGCAATTTTGACCGTAAAAATAGTTGCTGCCCTTGTGTTAAGTAAAGCGGGTCTTTTTCTCAGGTGCCACGAAAGAAAATCTGGCGAGTGTTCATTAGGACATGTCACTGTCTCCGGATGGCATTTCTTTCTTTATTGGTCTGGTTTGGTTTATCTAATTGAACCAATTGGCAACCATAATCTCACCGACAATTTAACCTTGTCAAGCGAAGACATAAATTGGTAATTCCTTGACCAGGAACAGTAACCACGTTCTTACTGTAATGCCTTGGTGTCGTGGAAATTTCAATGCAAAAGCGAATCCAAGGCGACTCGTGCCCAGGAAGAAGAAACAATTTCAGGAAATTCTGATGCAGAAGGAATGAAAAGAAGTAGATCCAACAATGATGACACTGGAAGAAACAGACGGAGAGATTTGACAAGGAACCCATAGCTAGATTATCAAATTGCTCATCATCACGTGTAATACAGCCATTTCTGCTCTGAATCATGCCAATTGATTGAAACGAATTCTCAGAAGAAGACCCGCCAATGCTTTAGCGTGCCGGTGTTGTCGGCATGATTTCAGTTTAAAGCAGCCCTCACGGAAAAATACATGAGGATGCATTTAGGTGGCAAGAAATTACATTATTGCTCCTTCCTGTTTTGCCCCTTGTTTTCCCGTACTGCACTAAAGGTCTTTTCATAATTAAATTGATGAAAAATCATCGTGTCGATCCTATATTATTATTATCATAATCACTTTCTTTCTAACTTCAATTCATCACAAAAACAAATGCACCAGAAGTTTTAAAAGTTATTGCGAAAATGTAATCTAGTTGTAAAAATTTTCAAAACGGTGCAAAAATTGTCTGTGGTTGGGCTAAGTCTGTATTTTTAATTCTTAGGAATAAGAAGGCTCTTGATTTTGTATTAGTTAGCAGTATATTTGGTTTGATCAAGTTGTTTATCTTCCGGGTTTTATTTGAAACAAAACTTTCCATATACAGATTATGCATATATGTCTATTATCAGAATCCAGCCCTTGATCTTACAAGAAACACCCACACCATGTTCAACAGTTCTGCAAATACCTCAAAATAGCACATACCCACGTGAAAAAACTGGACTTCAATATGATCATCAGTGTGCTTTCTCAATGGAGCGCACTAAACTGGACACTAAACTGTTGGACATCAGGACATCACTAATGTTGTAATCTTCTCTTGTTTCCTTTTCATTGGGAATCTTTTTGAACCGCGTGGTTTTACACTAACAGTTTGCATTCACATGCATTTTTTTAAGCGGATGTCCATATAATGAACCATCAAGAACGGCAAAGTCCGTTCCATTTGTCAAAAAACAACCAAATGAAATGATGGTCCAAGCTTTTTTCCTTTTTCAAACATAGAAGGACACTGGAAGAAACAGATAGACAGATTTGACAAGGACCCGTAGTGAGATTATCCCAGTGCTTATTACTACAAAATCATGTCATGTGAATCCCGTTTCTAACACACCCATCTCTGCTTTGGATCATAGCAGAAGTAGCCTCCTCTTTGCACGTCTTTTGAACTTAGTGATGCACATGCCACATATTCATTGTATTTCGAGGCGACAAATGTTAGCTATGGCCACAGATTGAGGGGCCACGTAAAAAGGCTTCTTTTGACAAATTGGAGAACATAGTGGTCATGTATTGCGAACTCTTGAGAACATTCTTTAACTGGTTTTTTTTTTTTGGTAACCGAGGATCCGCCACCATTCCCAAGGACGAGCCCGCACAGGTAATCGGGGCGCCTATACCTCGGGGGAGACTAGTCCAACAACCCATCTGTCGCGACCTAACAAAAAAATCAATCGGGTTTCGATCTTAGGCTAATGGGCTTAGACTTAGGCTTTAATTATCATTTAATTTCAAATGGGCTGAATTAATGTGGGCTTTTATTTAATTAAGCATAATGGGCTAATTTAAGCTCAAATTAAGACAACAAAGCCCTTCTGACTTGTAATTTTCGGCCCTTGCCTTCCGAGTGAGCCGAGTCTCGTTTGATGTCCGAGCTCAATTTACATGATGAATTTTAAGCTCGCTTACCACTGCCAATCCGATGCAAAATGCAGTTAATCTATATGAACCTAAACTTTATGCTATGCAATTTTAATATTTTTGTTTAGGGGTTAAAATTTAATCCCTAATTTTCTATGCAATTAACCACTAAATGATGCGCCGAAATTTAGGTATCAACAGCTGCCCCTCTTTGAGTGGAAGCTCGTAGAGGTTTCGCTCAAAGACTGAGACCTAAATTTAAACTATGCAAAATGATGAATGATTTTTGTTTTTAAATGTAATGATGCATGATATGCAAACAATAAGGAACGTATGCTAAGGCTTCTCACTTCGTGCGGAGCGGTGAAAGAGCCTTAGATACGGATCGCACAAAAAGCGTCCGAGTGACGGAATGCTTTATAATGCTTTCAATTCCCTTGATCTCCAAACTTCTAGTCAACTGGAAGTAAGGTTTTCGAGGTACTGGATTGTCTATCTGTTACCTGTAGTTTCCTACAGATACGAAATAACGCATGATATGAAGAAAGAATGGGGTGTGTTGCCTATACCACTAGGCAATCACGAAAAGGGTCATGAAATAGGGTATGCTTAGTACTCTGCTTAGCAACACCAAATGAGAAACCGTGCCGCCTCGTACTCCACTTGGCAACATCAAATGAGAAATTATACCGCCGCATACTCCACTTGGCGAACATGAAATGGAGTGTGCCGCGTACTCCACTTGGCAACACCAAATGAGAAATTATGCTGCCGCGTACTCCACTTGGCAACATAAAATGAGAAATTATGCTGCCGCGTATTCCACTTGGCAACATCAAATGAGAAATTATACCGACGCATACTCCACTTGGCGAACATGAAATGGGGTGTGCCGCGTACTCCACTTGGCAACACCAAATGAGAAATTATGCTGCCGCGTACTCCACTTGGCAACATAAAATGGGGTGTGCCGCGTACTCCACTTGGCAACACCAAGAGATGGGGTGTGCTTCGTACTCCACTTAGCAACACCATGAGGTGGGGTGTGCTTCGTACTCCACTTAGCAACACCAAGAGATATGTCACCTGTTCCACTGAATTTTTCTTATGACGGAGCCAATGGCATCGCTCCTGTTTTTTACCTGAGAAAAGGTTAAAATAACACATGCGCAGAGGCAGAGAAAACATAATTCATGAATCTGCTTGCATTACCAAGCTTCACCGGGGGATTTATCAATAAGAACAACCATCTCGTCCT